GCAAATTAGTTTAGAGACAGACTGATATGACATTCAGTAAGGTCTAGAATGGGAGGCAAAGAGTCTACATGCTTTATTTGTATGTGGAAATATAATGTATTGTTTTAAAAGCTGCTAGAATGACAGACCCTACGTAACAGCATTATACACACTAACACCACCTAATATCTGAATGTTTCCTAAACACTTGGCATTATTCTAGCACTTTACATGTACTAACTCATTTAATACTAAACTGTCAGGGCAGTTCTACTCATATCCTCCCCATTTTACAGATGAGGCAGAGAAATTAAGAAATGTGCTCTAAACCACCCATCTCACAAAAAGCCTGGCCACAGCTACACATTCTAATGCTGCAAGTATCTTCTTTGCTATCCTTAAACTACTTTTTAAATTTTTTTTTTAAACATTTATTCATTTTTGAGAGACAGAGCATGAGTGGGGGAGGGGCAGTGAGAGAGAGAGAGAGAGAGAGAGAGAGAGAGAGAGAGAGAGAGAGAGAGACACACAAAATCAGAAGCAGGCTCCAGGCTCTGAACTGTTAGCACAGAGCCCAACGCGGGGCTCAAACTCACCAACCACAAGATAATGACCCCAGCTGAAGTCAGATGCTTAACCAATTGAGCCACCCAGGCACCCCTCCCTAAACTACTTTTAAAAGCTATGGTTCTAATGGGGACATGGTGAAGGCCTAAATCCCATGCAGGTAGCTCCAATCACTTATTTTGAAAAATAAAAGGTACCAAAGGTAAGGGATTAATAAAAAGCAATGAAAACATACACAAAACCACGTATTTGTTACAAATTAAAAATGCTGAAAACTTATGCACAAATGTTTCTAAATGTATTACTTTTTCCTCAATTTGTAAACAGATTATGTCTTGTAACTCAAAGCTAACAATATGATGGGAAGAGTTTTAAATACCTAATTATTTAAATGAGATCAAAGACAGCTTTTTTTTTTTTAAGTTTATTTTTATTAAGCGGGGGTGGGGGAGGGACAGAGAGAGAACCCCAAGCAGGCTCCCTGCTCTTAGCGTGAAGCCCGACACGAATTGTGAGATCATGACGGGAGCCAAAATCAAGAGTCTGATGCTTGACTAACTAAGCCACCCAGGTACCCTAAGGAGAGTCCTGATATATATAATGAAGTGGCTCAAATTTCATAACCTCATATATTATCCCAAATGGATTAAGTTTTATAAAAACTGATTAAAAAGGCTAATCAGAAACAAAGAGGGAAAAAATTGAGTACTGTGATTGATACAGAACTATCCTTTAAAAAGCCTGTTTTTTCTAAGACAAAATAATAATTTTTCCTTGGTAAGTAGCAGAAAACATTTTTTAAAACCCTAAGAAAAAAAGGGCAGAGACACCAAGGGAGATTAACTGATAAAAGTAAGCTCTTTCTCTTGAAGAACACTCAAAAATTAGCCTATTACATGTTTTGACATTTCTCATTGTTAAAGCCCTTCCTTACACTGAGCACTTTAATTTCATCTGTTGAAATAAAAGTGGTTTCCGAAAACAAGACAATTAACATCTTTACTTAGATTTTAGATATTTAAAGAATCTTGGCTAAACATTCATGTTCCACACACATCTGTTACTTCTCTGTATTTTGTTAAAGTTAAAAGAAAACACACAAAATTTAGTCCACTGGGAAAGAGGAGGGAAAAATATTTCACCCCATATATTTGAACAATTTAATGGACACTGGGATGGCTCAGTTGGGTAAACAATTGACTCTTGATTTCGGCTCAGGTCATGATCTCACGGTTTGAGATCGAGCCCCAAGTCAGGCTCTGTGCTGACAGCGTGGAGCCTGCTTGGGATTCTCTTTCCCCCTCCCTGGTTCTCTCTCTCAAAATAAATAAACATTAAAAAAAATTTAAAAGCATACATGTATTTTTGTAAGATGCTACCTTAAAACTATTTTTTTTCAATAATGAACTTCTCCTTTAGTATGCAAATCATTTGGTTTCCCTGCACTTATTTTACTTATTAATTCACTTTAATTTTTCATTTCAAGTTGTACTTTTTTTTAAAGTTCACTTACTTATATAAGTAATCTCTATACCCAACGTGGGGCTCAAACTCAGCACCCCAAGATCAAGAGTTGAATGCTCTTCTGAGCCAGCCAAGTTGTACTTCAAAAATCAGAAATAAGAAAGCCTTGATATGGGCGCCTGGGTGGCTCAGTGGGTTAAGTGTCTGGCTCTTGATTTTGGCTCAGGTCATGATCCCACAGTTCGTGAGTTTGAGGCCCACATCAGGCTCCATGCTGATAACATGGAGCCTGCTTAGGATTCTTTCCCCATCTCTCTACCTCTCTCCCACTCAAGCTGATGCTCTCTTTCAAAACAAAAACAAACTTAAAAAAAAGAAAGACTTGATAAAACCACTAAAATCTAATAGAAGAATGGAATTAGAAATCAAAATATAAAAAACAATGTAAGGTCCAGCATATGCCTTGTCCCAATTAGGGCTTCAGAGGAACTTTGATAAAAGAAGAATAAATGCTTACCAGACATTTCAAGCTCTAACTAGCATGTTTAAAACTGATTTCATTTTCCTTACACATCAGTGTCTTTTTCTGACCTACAAAACTTGTTAATGGTATGAACTATTCCCTGTTCTTTAAAATTTTGAGTGTTTTGTTTTCTTCTTTACTGCTACAATCAGGTAGAGATCAAATACTGTCAACTCTTTTTTCCCCTCAAATTTCTTGCTCACTTATTCCTTCCCCTCTCTCCGTCTGACTCTGGTTTCATGCATGCAGATGTATTGCAAAAATATCTTGTCTCCCTACCTCCAATTCCTGTGTCATTTCTTCAGTCACACTGGACACTGTTTCCAAGTGACTTCCCAATAGTACATTTTGTGTACATCATATCCCTCTGTGCCTATTCAAAAACCCTCAACAAAAATAACTACAATTAAAAAAGAAATCTATAAGGAAAAATGTCTGCAGCCAATTACTACTAAATATTATATAAAAAACTCAAAGAAATAAAACATCAAGACTCTCACACAAATGGACAGAGATCTTAAAGCGAGAACTTGTCTAGTACCAAGAATCAGTTGAAATTGCAGAAAAAGGTCCTAATTCACTAGTTAACAACAAAAATATTACAAGGAAAAGGAGAGCTCAACATATTTTGCACTTATCAAATTAGCAAAAATGATTATAATTATATACTACCCAATTCAGGTAGCTAATGTCACAGAGAGGGTGACAATCAATCCTGAAACAACGGTCCAAAAGACTGAAAATATCGTACGCACATAGATGATAAATGCAGAATACTGAAAAACCTGAAACCTAAATGGTCAAGAAATACAAAAATTAAGCTGAAGATAAAACAGTTTGATGGATTGTTTTCACACATCAAAATTATAATGGGTACTGTGTGGTCACACTGAATGCTTATTACAACGTTAAGGAACAAAAAAAAAGTAAAAATTAATAATAAAGAAAAATATGCATAAGGACAAGGACATTTAAAAAATCTAATCTTAGGGGCACCTGGGTGGCTCACTTGGTTAAGTGTCTGACTTTGGCTCAGGTCATGACCTCAAAGTTTCTGAGTTTGAGCTCTGCCATCAGGCTCTGTGCTGCTGGTGTAGAGCCTGCTTGGGATTCTCACCATCTCCTCTCTCTGCCCCTCCCCCACTTGCCTTTTCACGCTCTCTCTCAAATTAAACAAACTTAAAAAATAAAAAAAACAAACCAATGTTATCAGAGTGGGATTAAAAGAGATGGGTTTAGTTGCATTGTGATTTGTTAAAATGTGAGACTAAAACAAAATAATCTTTATTTTCTGCTCACATCCCAGCTTTCAAAGCCCTCACAAGGTTCCCAAACCAGTATAGAGGACAAGCACCCCACATAATCGATGTGAAGCTAATTCTAGAAATGTTGACAAGCTGACCTCATGCAATTTTTCCAATGTAATCTTTAGTCATTCATCCTCTCCGAAATGGTTTATTCACTTCCCCAAACATAACTTTCTTTATATAATTATGTTCTTAATCACCATTTTCCACCCACTAAGAAAGTCCGAGATCTTCCTTTCTTCTAATTTTACAAATGATCTCTCACTAACCCTGAAAAGCCTTCAATGATTACTAAACAAATTTCTTTTCATTCTGCATTATAAAACAATTTGTATTTTATTTTATTTTTAATATTTTTATTATTTGAGACAGAGAGAGACAGGGCATGAGCAGGGGAGGGGCAGAGAGAGAGGGGCACACAGAATCCGAAGCAGGCTCCAGACTCCCGAGTCGTCAGCACAGAGCCCGATGCGGGGCTCGAACTCACGAACCGTGAGATCATGACCTGGGCTGAAGTCGGACACTTAACCAACTGAGCCACCCAGGCACCCCAACAATTTGTATTTTAAAAAACAATTAAATCTCAACCGTATACTGAACTTTGATAAATTATCTTGTAAGCCATGATTTAAATCTTTAAAAACTTTCCTGCACTGATTGAATCTTTTGCAATGACTCCATTAACTTTCCACATGTTTAATTATATTCTTTCTTTTATTAATAGTAAGCTCCTTTAGCATAGATCCTTGCCATGTAGGAACATAAGCAGATCCCTAGATCAGCGTGTACCCCAATCCTAAAATATGCCTTCATTCTAGTCTAAATTATGGGTGAAAACACCCAGTAATCTATGCCTCCACACGGCCATAAAATCAGCAGTGACTACCAATAGGGCAAAAGACCACACAGGGATTGCAAAGATAGCTTTGTTACAAAAAAGCAAATTATGTAACTTTCCAAAAAACAACAAAACCATTAGCAAAGCAGGTATGTTCAACACAGCAATCAATCTGTTCTACTTCTCAACATAGACATTTATAGAAACTGTACAGTGAAACAAATTCTATCATTTTTCAAGATACACACATATGTAACATATGTATATAACATACTAACTGCTGATCTTAATTACTAAATAAAAGACAAGTAAAACTACATACCAGAAACAGAATTTTCAACAGTAGATCCAGGTCTTTTAAAACTGGAACATCTTCCTTCATTTTCCCACAAAATGAGGTTTATTCTAAAAAACAAAGACTTCCTTTAGTTTTGAGTATGCCACAATCCTCAGAACATAGTCTATTTAATAATCTTAAAAAACAATGAAGCAAAAATTTCACTTCTAAACACTTTCACTGATGAGATCTCTGTCACCTATTTTAACATGGGCTCAAAAAAATCATGAATATGTTCAGAGTGTTCCATCATTAAAAATCCAGAAATGGGAACCACATAAATGGGTAAACAAATCCATAGGAATGTTCTAATTTGGGGATTTCAGTGTAAAATACTACCTCAAGAAGCTAATTATAAAGCCTCGTTTGAAGCCTTGACCAAATAAATAAAACATTCTGCCTTCAAAATAGCTTTCTATCACAGAAACACCATTAAAAATTTTTGTGATTTTGTTTTTGTAAGGAACATTATTCTAATAGTTTGGACTCAATGGTTACAAAAAAACAAATCAATCATAATTAATTTTTCTCATTAATACCTACGAGATGGTCTAGTGACTTTTCAGTTAATATTCATCTACAGTCACCTCCCATTAAGAGATCATAATGCCCTTAAGATTCTTACTGGGCTCTCTAAATCTATGTTGTATTAGCAATTACAAATCAATTCAATATGAAAACAAGTATTTGGATCATTAAAACAATTTTGAAGGCTAATACAGCATCTGTGGCACATTACAAGTTCTTACAAGAGTATTACTGTTAAAGAAAACATTAAGCTGGTTTATTTCATATACTTTACAAAAGCACATACAGGTTCATAAAAAAGACTGACAGAACACCTATCATGTATCAAGCAGGGAAACATAACAGTGACTAAAACCTCAGTTGCTGCCCTCTGGGAATGGAGTCTCAAACTAGGGAAGAGCCTAAGAACTGCACAGCAAATGTGATGAGAGACATATAAAGGTTCCTGTGAGGGTAAAAAAGCACACAGAAAATGCCCATAAAGATGGAAAACTTCAAGGAAGGCTTCGAGGAAACATAAAATAAACTATACCATAAAAACAGTAGTTTTTAGTATCCTCTAAATGTCACTTCTGTGCAGCAAAATGTTCCACTATACAAACGCCTACCTATTTGAGAGTGAAAAATAAATTAGTTTTAAAAAAATCACTTGTAAGGTCCCATAAAAACTCTTAAACTTATTTTAAAAATTATAATTCTACTTGAATAAAACACCCGAGAGAAAATTTAAAAAATAAAGCGAAAAAAAAATCCACAACAAAACAAAAACTGAGGGAAAAAATAAACGGAAAAAGAACAACAAAAAATGTAAGTACAGTAAAAGCAAAGCTTTCTGATGGGCAGCTGTACAAAGCCTTAAATGCACAATCCTTTTAGCTTATTCCCATTTCTAGGGATTTATTCCAAATAACCAGGAATGTAAAGAAAGATCTAGATGCCTAAAAATTTTAGCCACAGACATCCATTCTCAGACAAAATCTTTTCTAAAACATGCACCAAGATACCAATTCTATCACTGCTGTTATAGAAAAATTAAAATACCATCCAATTATATAAATTATATCTATCCTACAGAGGACTATGCAACTATGAAAAGTGCTTTATGGGCAAAATATTTCCCATGTTCCTAGTTTTTTCTATAAAAAAAAAAATGAGTGACAAGATAACCATGACTAAAATGACCTTTACTTTATAAAACAACACTGATGAAAAATAAAGACCCCTCTGTGTCACACAGAATTACAACATAAACTATAATTGCCTTTTGGTGGAAGAAATACAAGAGACTGGTCTTTTCTTCTTTAGGCTTTTTAGTAATTTCCAAATGCCCACTGACATGCATTATTTGGATCAGATAGTAAATTTTAAGTTGGTAGTAGAATTATAGATGATTACTCCCTGGGAAGTTCAGCAGTATTATATCATTTTATAATTTTCTTAAGGAAAAAAAAACCAATCACTTCTAAACTTCTACTAACATATTTTTTCTATGTGCCAAATTTTTAAGTAGGAAAAAAAAAAAACATGAAAATGTTCATATTATTCTATGACAAAAATATTAAGTACTCAAAAAAATCCAGAAATGGGAACTACACAAATGGGTAAATAAATTCATAAACATGTACTAATTTTGAGATTTCATTCTACAGTATCACATCAGGAAGCTAATTATACAGATTTATTTATCTGTTTTTTTTTTTTTTTTTTAATTTATTTTTGAGACACAGAGAGACAGAGCATGAGCAAGGGAGGGGCAGAGAGAGAGGAGGAGACACAGAATCCAAAGCAGGCTCCAGGCTCTGAGCTGTCGGCACAGAGCCCAACGCGGGGCTCAAACTCACGGACCGTCAGATCATGACTAGAGCTGAAGTGGGGCGCTTAACCGACTGAGCCACCCAGGCGCCCCTACAGATTCATTTGAACCCCTGGTCAAACCAAACTTCTTTCAACCACCATTCTTCCTTTTTGTATTTATGGCTTTATTGGCAGACAACAGTGGTCTGTAAAATTTTAAGTCTCCCCGTTCTAAAGATTATTCACAGAAATTAAAACTTACCTCAGTAATACTTTAGGATATGTCACTGAGAGATTTTGGTTTTCTTCAGACCACCTGCCAAAAAAAAAAATCCACAATAAATGATTAAATCATACAGCCATTTTCTAGAATGGATCCCCACCGATGCAGCAGTAACAAAGGTACTACAAGACTTAAGTTTAATTTTTTTTAAAGCTTGTTTTTATTTATTTGGAGAGAGAGAGAGCACAAGTAGGGGAGGAACAGAGAGAGAGGGAGAGAGTGAGTGAGAGAGAATCCCAAGCAGGCTCCCTGCTGTCAACGCAAAGCCCAAGTGGGGCTGGAACTCAGGAACTGTGAGATCAGGACCTGAGCGGGAATCAAAAGTCGGAGGCTTAACCGACTGGGCCACCCAGGCGCCCCTAACGAAAATAGGTTTAAACAGCTATCTAGACCAGCATGACTAGGTCACTCAAAAACAGCTACACTCCATTTTCTTAGTAAGTAATTTTGAGAAAAATTACTGCAGTGATCACTGCAAAAATCTAGTTAGGTATTAATTTTGAATAAACGTAGTGTGGATTATCGACGATATTTCACATTTCCTTATTTCATTCTTTAGAACTTGCCAATTAATACTTCATTTCCACCATTTCAAATGTGTTTTAACAGAACACAAAGATTCTGCTAACAGAACAAAATCAATGGCTGCCCTGAACAAAGTCCTATCGGGGAGGTCTTCTCATTTAAAGTGTTTTCAGTCCCTACAAAACCACTACTGTTTCCTTTTTAAAAAGTAGCACAGGCTTTGTGCTAAGCGGCAGAGCCGCCTGAGGTTAGAGTAGCAGGGTCTGGGCCAGCTGGTGATTCCACAACCCGCTGCTTTCTGCAGCTTCCTCAAAGCTTAATCGCGCGAGGAGCACGCGGAAACCTCTCTCCCGACTCAGCTAGGTCTAAGCACCTTGCCTTCCCCGTGTTAATTAATGAGGCGCCCACAGAGCTGGCACTTGGGTAGGGAATATGACAAGTTCGCGAAACGCACTTCCAAAGGGAGGAAGAACTGATCGGAGAGGAGAATCCAGAAAATCTCTCGAGAGGGGTGCCAAGGATCAGCCAGGAGAAAGAGACGTGCACGTCCCCTCCGCCCCTTTCTCTCGCGCGGCGGGAGAGGAGGCCTCGCCCCCTTTCATCCCGCCCCCTGCTCCCCACCCCGCCGCAGGGAGAACTTACTTTGCCATGGCCGCCGCGCGGCCCGTCCACTTCCGGTGCCGGTGCCGCTAAAGCTGCGCCATCCCCTAGTCACTCGGACAGCCACAGCTTCCAACCGACCTGTTGACAGGTTCGCGACTCCTCCGACCTTCACTAGGTGCTGTCCTGGAGTGAACCGTGGATAGGTGCCGCACTAAAATGAATCTACAGGATACACAGTCGGCTCTCGTCTCTCCAGAAACGTAAAATGCGATAGAGCTGCGACCACCGCCGCTCAGACAAAATGGCGCCGAGAAGCCGGTTTAGCGCAGGCGCCTTGGAAAGACCCTGCCCCGCCCCCGTGCAAATGCTGGCCGCAGCTCCGGGTTCGGTTTCCATGGGACACTTCGCCGCCAATCCTCGTGCCGAACTGCTCTTCCTGACCCTTCAATTTACCAATCAGTGCTCAGTCATGCACATCCGGAGTCGTCTCAACCAATCATTTTTCAGAACCTGCTTACTCAATACCCAATTCTCCAGTAACGTTAGCCTTCGGAGACAGCCAATCATAAGTGGAAGATGTCCTACCTGCTGTTTTTCGCACCAATCCGTGAAGTTTCTTAGCTACATCCAATGAGGACGGCAGGTAGCGAGCTCCAATCCAAAGCTCTTCGGCGTCATGAGCAGCCAATAGGAGTTCGTGTAGAAGCGAGTCTGCTCAACAGCTTGTTATTTGGTGGATTGTGGCAGTAAATCGGGCGAGTGGGGAACCGGGCGCAGGACCTGCCGCCGCGGCCGGGAGTGGTGCTGCCCGGACGGGGGCCCACGGGGGTCAGTGGGGCGGAGGACTCGGAAGCTGACAGCGCGCACTTCACCCGCAGTTAGTAGGTGAGGAGAAGGGAAGTGGGGGATACTGAGTGGACGAAGCGGCAGTAGCAGCTCGTGCTGCTAGCAGCCCGGGGTCCCGGTGCAGTTGGAAGCTTCGCAGGTGGGGAGGGGGTGCTGGGCAAGCGGTGCGGCGAGCGCAGGGGAAGGGGCAGGTCGTGGAGCCGCGGCAGCAACTGCAGGAACCGCCGCCGCAGCCTCCTCCTCGGCTGCTTCCCTGGGAAAATGGCTGTGGGGCTGGCCGCGCCGCTAAGTTTGCTTCCGTGCGATGAGAAGCGGGCTGCTTGGGGGAGCCGGCCCCCAACTCCGCAGCGCGTCCTCTCCTGTGCAGTCTGTGGCTGGACCCGAGGGGCCAGGGGCAGGTACCACTCTGGGCTGTACAAAAAGTTGAGGCGGGCGCGGGGAGGAGGCGGCGGCTGCCGCTGTGCGGCTCCCCTCCCCTCCCACACCCTCTCCGGGCCACCTCC